TCCTCCTCCTCTCTCCTCCTCTCTCTCTCTCTCTCTCTCTCTCTCTCTCTCTCTCTCTCTCTCTCTCTCTCTCTCTCTCTCTCTCGTTCCCGCTGTCCATCTACCGATCGCTCCAAGGTTTCGCCTAACGAGCGATTCCTTCCTCTAATATACAAAATTCATACATATTCCGGATATAAGTATCTTGTGACTTTAGCGCCTTCTTCACCAGCCATGCATCCAGCCATCCTTGAATTTATTTCTGACCGATCTTCTCTTTGACGAAGACGCGATCGAAGGCGCGTCGAAGATTTTTTAGAAACGCGTAAGAACAATTATTTTTACGGTGACAACTCTGTGATAACGTCTTAATTAATTATGCTAATGATTATTTTTGAATTTACATATATTCAATTTGTTTCCGTCATCAGTCATGTGAATCGTTGTGGATTTGCGACGTAGTTAGCCAAAGCAAAACTATATATTCTCTCTAATGCTTTCATAATCAATTTAATGATACACCGGAAAAAATACTTTTGCTGAAGTCTCTAAAAATGTATTCACATACAGACCTGAAAGTAATTTTATTAAGTCATCAAAATAATTACGTAGGACGTTCAAATTGATTGCTAAAATATAATAAAATATCATTGCGATACTTCCATCATGCTTAAATCTTACGTAATAATTTTGATGACTCAACAGATTATTTTCACAGATGTGTAGCAAAATTTTTTTTTTAGATACTTCAACAAAATTCATTCTTTCTGTGTGTCAATTAAAAATCCTCTACAAAAATTATATATAAAAGAAGAAATAAATAAATGTCTACCGAAGAGGAATTACTCCTTACTTTGATTGTCCTTTTTGTGATCCTCGAAACAATTTCGGAAATATCTGAATTGGTAAAATGTGTCCTGCCGACTCGATTAAGAAAGGTCAAGGAAGCATTTAACCGCTGGACATTACCGACTTGACCCTAGTATTTAACCCGATCCCCCTGATAATCGCTTCCGCGCCGTTCATTCATTTATTGTATGTGTACATTAAAACGCGAAATGAAGTTTGTCATTTGCATTGCCGAGGAGGACGTTCGTGTGATCTAGAAATCCGTGGCTTGTTCAGCGAGATTTATTTTCAACAACTGGCTGTTCCGGTTAGGCGTATCGAAATATTCGACCTCAGAATGGACTGAGAAAAAAGCGTTGCACACACAAGCGTATAAGCGTACAAACGATACACACACACACACACACACACACACACACGAGGTGACTGATCCAAGTTACTCACCCGTATTAATCTTTTTTCTAGACGGGAGAGAATCGATTTTAATTTCTGCGAAAGGCGCTATATATTTTTTCGAATGTTTCATTTCGCCATGTTCACAAGTACATTATATCGTTTTATGAATTCGTTGGTTTGGTTCTTCTTTTTTAATTTTCACAGAGGAAGAAACTCGCTTTATTCGGTGTGAAGATATTTTCAAGTGGAAGTAAAATTTTTTCAGAAATTGTCACATTATTGATCGTACAATTACGTAAATATAATTGAACTTTTTTACGTCATGAGTTTTTTGTCACCAATTTTTTTATTATCTGCGTGTCACTGTAATAATTTTATTCTAAAAAGAATTACATCAATGAGTTGACAATGTGTTATGTATCTATTTGTCATTTTCTTCTGTCACAGTAGTCGGCATTAGATGTAATTTTCTGTTTCAACATCAATGTCTGTTCCCGTTTCTTTTTGTTTGAGTGTTGATGACCAAGCCGCGTCGCAATGCATGCGACATTTCTGCCTCAAGAGTTGTCGTGCGTATAACTCGTAAGCTGAAATTGCATCCTTTTCTCAATTACACTTAAAATATTTTTCCGATCGCTTTGCGAACAAGATCGTTTTTAAGGCAAAGCGTTGCAAATGATTTGATCCGTAATGAGAATAAAAATTTGGATGCCGTGGCGCCAACTTTTTATTAATCCGCCATGTCATCGATAAATGTTTATAAATTAATATTTATTTATAAATAAATTATTAGAATTCAAATCATAAATCAAAAAATAACAAGATATATATAATTATTTAAAATTCACATTTCACTCTCTTGGAGTAAAGTTTCACTCCCAAAAATTTAGAATATACAGAATTAAATTCATTTTAACGTGAAAATGGCAAACAGCATTCAAACTTTTATTTCAGTAGAATCAATCATCAAACTTTAATTAGTAGATCATGAACTGCAGAGACGCCCACAATGGGCATCGACAATAAAATCTAATCGAAAGCATTTTTCCATTTGTTCTTTTTATTTAAAAATTTGTTTAAACTGTAGAACTACCAAATTAAAAAAATATACATTTTTTTCGACACATTTTTCTTGTTGAGTCAAATAAACCATTTTTGGTCCGTTTGACATGAAAATGTAAAATATAACTGCATTATTAGATTATTATCAATTACTAATTAACTAATTTAATCTTTTTAACTGCACGAGATGTAAAGATCTAAACTTTGTAAGACTTATAATCAGATCAGCTTAATTAATATATTTACGTTCAGTGACAGAAATGAATGAGACACAATTAAAATAATTAGTATGCAACTTTTCCCTATAATTATCTAAAAGAAAACCTTAATGCGACGCGACCGCGAACATCTGTTTGAATTAAGTGAAACTTGAATATTTTATCGCTGGAAAACTGTTTGTCGCACGTGGCACGTGGTCTTTACCATATCAACCACTCTACTTCGTCTAATCTTCCTAATTAATTCCACTTGTTCTTCACGGTTGCAACAGAATTGAGGAAAGGAATCGTATGTATATTTCTCACATCGCGCGTCTTTCTTACGTGATCATTGACAAATACATACGTTAAATCATCAATACATGTTAAACTTGATCATACCGTTAAGCCAACTGTGTGACTAAGCGCAGCATCCTTATTCATCGCTGATCGCCTTATTCACCTCTTTTCCTGTCCTCTTAGCCGGTCTTATCCAATTATCCAATTACCAAAAATTGCCCAATTAAGTTATATTTGCATGAATCACATTTTTATACAAGATTTACCCATTATATTTCATCATATTAAAGAATATTTATATTTTCAAGCATTTCTTCTACATATTTTATGATTTCTTTGTAGTCAAAATTATTTCAAAAAAGTAACTGGCTTTATCGGACGCGCGGATATATCCAAGTAAAAATAAATATTTTAGAAATTGTTCTTACACAATTACGTAAGTATAATTGAACTTTGTCATGAGTTTTATCATCAATTTTTATTATCCGCACGTGTTCACTATGTTAACATCCACAACAAAATAATTACAATCCATCCAAGATCACCTGACCATTTTGATGACACTAAGCCGAATGATGCTTTACCGTTACAGGCGTTCTGTTTGCAAAAGTAACACTCGATGCTCGAATGCGGGAAACTATCTTCATGGTTGCAGTATTCGTTGATTTGGCGCGATAATACGCAGGCTCGTACCGTCACTAAAATATTTCTATCTACCAAAAATATTTTCCTTTAATCTCATTTTGTACCTCGACATATCTAATATAAATAATTAAGAAAGAGATTTATAATTTCACTAAATCAATATTTTATATATATATATATATATATTATTATATATATATATATATATATATATATATCGGATTAAAATGCAATTAAATCAATGTACGTACATAATATGATACTTTTGTGGCAATGATGAGATTCATTTCGAGGACAGGCGACCAAATCGCCCGGTGTGTAAGGATCGTTGCAATCTCTTTTATGTCTGTGCTTTAAATCCGTATTGCAATCGTAACACCATAGACTCTCCTCTCGCGAGGAAACCACTGAAGAAAATTTAAGAGGCAATAATTAACTCGTTCTCCCTTACGCGCTTCTTCGTTATTTTATCCGAGAAAACCAATGGCGGTGAAATATTCTTGTCGAGAGCGCAGTTTATGAGTCGCACGAGAAGCATGGATATTTACGTCAAAATAGAAAACGAAGTGCACGCGAAAGGCGAAGCGATAATAAAATCGCTACTGACGAAGTCTAATTCGAATGTCGACGAAACTTAACTCATTGCAACACGATTCTCGATTTTTATAATTATCTAGAATAGATATTTATAATTATCTAGAAGAATGATAAGGTCAAACACACATGCACAACGTATAACTTATTTACTTACTATGTAAAAGGCCAGATAGTATAATTGCGAATAAAACAATTCTGATCATGTTGAACGCCCCTCGGAAGAGGAAGATAGAGAAAAGAGATCTCTTAAAATATGCTTCTCCCGAGATATCTTATCTATGATAATCAAATGGCTGGCGCGACGAGGAACACGCGGTTAGCGGCGCATAATGAACGTGAAAACGTGTGTAACTTTTATTTCTTTGTAGGAAACAATTAACGCAAAAAAAAATGATATTTTCTATTCGCTTCCTTCAGAATTCAAGTTTTCGCACCTCGGACTCGATCGTAAGATTTTAAAAACTCACGTAAACAGATTTCTTTTCATTTCTCACTTATCTTTTACTTGTTGTTTACATCTTTTATCATCAATTATAGTTTTCTGACTTTTATCGATTTTTGAGACTTTGTGAGTTTCATGATTTAAGATCCAATTTTTCAAAATTGTTATTCTTGGAAATTTAAGAACTCTTGAAGTTTTAAATGCTTTCTTTCCGAGCACTTTTTCCTAATGCTTTATCGAGATTTGTGATTTTCATGATTTAAAATTTTTAATTTTCAAAAGTGTTTATCTTTTTTTCGGTAAATATGCAGTATAACGCTTTTTTCATCGATTTTCTTGTATACAAATTTTATAAATTTGTATATTTTGATAAGTAGAATATATCCTGAAAAGAAATCATCGTCTCATTTTTTTTTTTCAAAGTTTTTTAATATTTGAACTTTAATCCACATAAAAAGAGTGAAAGAGATAATAAATTTTGAATTGCAAATTATTCTCTGCTATAATTTAAATTATATAGGAAAATGACTTATGTTTTTAATTAAAGCAGAGAATATGATAAATAGGTAGCGATAAATATGTAGTAGTGATAAATATGTATAAATTAAATTATCATTAAATTATCATTAAATTATCATTTTTTAACTTACCAACGTCAAAAATTAAAAAAATAAAAAAAATTAAGAGGTGACAATTTTCCTTCTCAGAATATATTCTACGCATGAAAATATACAAATTTATAAAATTACAGGAAAATCGGAGGAGAGAACGTCATACTGCGTATCTATCTTTTTTTCCATTCTTTTTGTTTTTAGATTTTTATATCACTGTAAAATACCTATTGTCAACAATTAACGAGATTTTTAATTTATCTTCGGTCTACAAGGTAGGATCTCTGTAAATATACGTGTTTTCCAGCACACCACCAAGCTCACGTGTCACGAAAGTTCTCTTACATCTAACGCGTTACTGAAATAATATTTTATAAAATTGTGTGCGCATATGAGATTGTCATCTTGGGAAAATATATTCGTAACGTGTGCAAAATACAGCTGTCTACATGGATACCCTACAGCTAAGAAATGTGCATATCTTCAATATGATATGCTCGCTCGATTAAATTAACCAATATATAATTTCACGTTGTCTATATAAAGTTGGTCTTCAGCCATCGAGTGAGTGGGACGTCTTTTGTCCTCACGTGAATTTTTGTGTTGCGTCATGCAATTTATTGGGAATAAAGAGAAGGCTAAACGTGGATAAAGAGAAAGTTGAACTAGAATATCACAGAATACAGAGAAACTTATAAAGGATTTAGATAAACCTGTGTTATATAACCCTAGGGTTGAAGACACATAGTCGGAATTAATCCGACATCCTCCAACCGGAGGAAAAGAAGAAAAAAAAAAAAAAAAATACACGTTGTCTATTGTATTTCTATAAATAATAATATGTGTTTAATAAAATCTTGTAAAACAACAGGTTTACAGTAGATCTGTTTTCAGTAGTTCAAAGACTTCCTTCTGCTCTACAACCAGATATCCGAGATGTGCTTTAAAAAATGTGCGAATACTTTTCTCTCTCGAGAAATCACCTCAGACGAGGTAAGGAAATACTGAATGAATCTTAATTGCATTAAGGGTGAAAACAAATTCATTTTTATTTATAGGATTTCTGCATAAATAACTGCGCACAGAAATACATACATGCTAATCATAAGATAATGGAGATATTCATGGAGGTGCAGCCTGCAATGGTACGCAAAAGAATGGAGGAGATAAACACGACTCAAGCGGCATTAGAAGCGCAAAATCAGCAAGCGGAGCAGAGCCCACAATAGTACTTCTGTATTAGCTATGTAATATATTTATTACTTTCTTAAATACTTTTTGTTCATCTTACCACAAAGTTCCGTGAATGAATTTGTGAAATACGTATGTGATAATTTATAAAGAGGTTTTATATATTTGTAGAATATATATTGTTCGGGAAGGAAATACGCAATTGATATTTTCTCTCGTCCTGCATTTGTATATGTAAACAAGTGTTTACATAGATCGTACCTTCCAAGTCTTTTTATCGATTGCGAAAACTATCTACTTAAATAATACCATAAATGTCATCTAACCTTGCCTTCGATATATTTTTATGCCAAAATATATATTTTATGAGAGAGATATCAGAGGAAAGAAGTGCTCTCTTATATAAGCATTCATTTATTGTTAAGAGAATTTGTATACACATAATATACACATACAATAACATCATAGTTAGGAACACATAATCTCTTTCAGCTATATTATATATTTTATAAATAATAAAATGTCCAGGTTACATAATTCGCAGAAAACAAAGTTGTTTTCTTTTTCATCGCGTAGTGTCGATAATTAAAGAAAAAGATCAGATCTTGGCAGAGAGAAAACGGAACGTTTTACTTTTACTTCCATTGCGTGGAAATTGTGGAATGCAACTTAACTATAACATAGCAAAATTATGTATAATCTAAAAGGAGAGGATACGTGTTCGTGGAGTCTTTACATGCATGTTATATGCAAAAAATATATACAGAATGTAGCAGCATTACACGTTACACAGGCCAGAGTTATGAGATATTATCAAGCTATTATTCCCTGGATAATAGATGCAAGCGTAAAACGATAAAAATCTGGTGATTCTCCAAGAGACAACTGATATCTTACGTTATACATTCACCATACACACATGTGAAATGTTTATTAAATATCATTTACACACTGGAAGAATCATCTTCACAATTTTGTGGCATAACATCATAATATTATGTATCTGCCTAGTATAGCTAGTTTATTTCTTCGTTAACTGCTAATTGCAATAATTATCACTATCATGACAAGAAATGTTCATCGTTAAAAATGCCACACATTTTCGTTACAAAATACACTTGAAAGTCCCTCCCCAAACAATCTGAAAATTGCAAACTTTTGTGTGTGTGTGTGTGTGTGTATTTAGTGTGCATTGACATAAACTTATATATCATGTTCTCATTCTTAGAATACAAGCGCAAGCAATTAAACTTATTGATTTGAATAAGATGTTACCCTTTTTTTTTTATATTTTCTCATACTTTTTAAATAGATACTTAAGTAAGAAAATGATTAGCTTTTCTTCACAATGTAAAGTGTTTCTGCTTAAAATTTTGAAAGTACAAATTTTAAATGGAGATTAATTGTAGAAATGTTTTTAAAAGAATAACGATAAGAATTATGTAAAAATTTTGTTCTATAATTATTATATGTACTACACAATCAAATCCATTTTTTTTATAAATAACTGAAAATAAGTATGATATCAATGACATAATATTAATCTCTATAGAATGGCGGATAAATAAAATAATAATTGTAATATAACAAAGAAATATTTTGATAAAATTTGACAATTCTAATAGAATTTCCAATCTATCCAATCATTTTCTTGCTTTCAACAAATTAATTTTCAATATATTCTAACTTAAACGACTACATTGTTATAAATAGAAAGTAAGTATAAATTATAAAGCAGATCATACTTTAAAATTCAAACTTTTACAAAACAATACTTTTACAAAATAATACATTTGTGGTTTAAAGATTTTTTAGTCTTTTAAAATACCGGGCATATTCATCATTATTAAGCTATACGCTTATTATATGTAAAATATAATATAAATAAATAATTAATATCATTAATTAATATCATTAATATGCTGTAAAATAGAAGGCTCCATTTATCATATTTACATTTTGGAACTCTCTTCTAAGAGAAATATAAAAAATTAAATATCTATTGCTTCCTCTCGCATGTTCAAGCATTAGAAATTAATTGTTCGGAACATCGACTAAGTAGTTTAGAGATTTTTCTACTGATTTGTATAATTCTCTTAAAAGAATTATTAATTTTATAATACATGATGTGTGTATATATATATACTACCCCATATCATTATATATATATATAATATATATTATAATATATATTATCACTATATAATGATCCACATTTGATGATATTACATCTTAAGTTCAGTCTGTTTATACACCATGAACTTCGCAATTTTTCACTCTACGTTAACTTGTTAAACGGCTCACAATATGTACTGACAAATCGTCGAGTGTATTTTTTTTTTCTTTTTTTTTATAACTGTTTTATCTTTACTTTCTGCGTCTTGTAACTCAAGACAATTCAGTGGACGAACGTACTTGTTTATTTCACATTTTTCACCGTGGGACGAAGTATCCAATTTAATTCAACTACTGCTCCAGCCATGATGGCAGAGTGGAATTCGGTGATTTCACTTTGATGTTGAATTGTTTGAGAGTCGCTTCCAACGCAGTTTGATTCCCCGAAAAGTAGGCAGATACAGCATTATGAAATAGCAGCAATTGCTTGTGCATCACTTTAATCTGGAAACAGTGAAATCATTGGAAGAAATGTCAGTTGATTGTCAATTAACAATTTATAAAAGAATGTAAAAGAAAGAATACCCTGTTTTCATCCAAGAATTTCAATTTGATAGAAACGTCTGAGCGCAATTTTTCGAAATTCTGTTTGTGTCCTTCGTAATTAGCCTGCGCTTCCTCTAATCTCGCCGCATTGTTACTGTCTGACTTTGTAGCTTGCACAAGCGCTTCTAAATCTGTTCTATACGCATCGTACTCTATCCTATAGAATTATCACATTGTAATAATAGAAATAACGTGAAGTAAGAAGTATATTTAGAATGAAAGTCGCATACCTCGCGGTTTCGTATTGTCTCACTGTGAGCAACGTGTCCTCGATCGTCTTATTACACAAGGTATTCACAGAGGAAACGAAGAAATTTAAGGCCCCTAAAAGTGTCTCGCCATTTTTCGTTAAATTTCTTTGCGTCTCCGAATTGTACAGAAATTCCTCTTGAAGTTCGGGTGATTTCTGTGCCAGTTCGGAGAACGCCTCACCCAGTGCATGTTGTGTCTGAACAACGTGATGAAAATGCGATGCCAAAGCTCGTGATAATCGTAGGACGTTACAATATTTTCTTTGAGTATCTCTGAGCAATTCAATTTGTGTTTCAAGTTCTGGAATACAAAAACAAAAAATATATAAAATCACTCTGGCACACCAAAGATATCTCACTAAAAATATTCAGATCAGACAAACAGACACTCACCAAAGTCTACAGTACGTGATGTTTTGCCTAGTCTTTCATACATTAACTGCTTAGTACACTTGTATGTGGAGATACTCCAATTTTTCAGACTCTCAATTTTGCTCTGCGTGGTACGCATAGTTTGGGTATCACCATTCTGCACAGGTGTATTTGGCGAGACGACCATTGCTGGAAGAAGACAGGCATCTTTTGCTCCAGCTTTAAGGCTGTGGAAATCTTACTCGTCATATAAAACATGCAAAAGAATGTTTGATACATACAGGTCTGCGTTGTAGGACTACCCAGACTCAGGTTTATGGTAGCTGGTCGCGGATGATTGTCACTGCTGCAGTTGTTTGGTACATGAGGCGGTGGAGTCCCTGTATGTACAGCGTTGTCGCTCTCATTCAGGGAAGGTGCATCTTTCAACATCTCGTGAATACTACGCTCCATCCCACTTGGTGTGACCGTAATCTGGGACATTTCTGTTACAGAGCGTTCATTCATTTAGACATCGTCGGCTTTAGTGGTGCCGAGTTAAAATTCCTCCTCGAAATAACCGAAACCTTTTAAGGAAAATAGAAGCGCTTTTTCCTTTTAAGATATATCAAGGCATTTTATATCAAATTAGACACACCAATCTTGGTCTGCTAACAATTAATCCAAGTGATTGAAAATGAACAACGTGCGGTTTTTCTGAAGACGTAACGGCATCCTTAACACCGCGAGATACTTACAACCAACAGTTTGACGAAGAATATAACAGACACGGCTACCGTTCACGACATTCGACCACGTCGCTACGTGTCGCGTTCGAGGCGGTATTATCGCACGGAATATGATTATACAAACGGAATCACCGTAAACCGCCGACCCGCTTTATCGCTCACGCATAGATACGCCTTCTACTTGTCATATCTCGCGAGAATTTTCAGACCGTGCCGTAAAGTCACACAGAAGACGCGGAGAAACGTCACTGGACGTTCGTCTCCCTCTGCCCCCTCAAGCCACTCATACTTGCATTCTCTCCCTCTCTGTCTCACGTCCCTAAGAGAGAGAAAAAGAGAGATATTCGTCCGTTTTGATGTGTGATCCGACGAAGAAAAACCGCACCGTCGAGCGACTACAGTGATACTTACTACATTAAAATCGTCGCCCACGCGTTATTTCTACTGCTACGTGTCAGAACGTATAATAAATCGAAACACTTGACGGCCGAGATTCTTATCTGCGGCGTTTCTTGGGAAGAGCAACGTGCGAGGCTAGGTGGCGTAATCGAAGTATTTGACTTTCGGAGACGCTCATTGCAATGTGAGTTAACTCCATTCGGTAACTCTGATGAGAGTATTTATCATACATCGGCAAATTGATATTCTCTCTACGTTGTGTAAATAAAATATATATTTGTAATATATAATTATATGTATAGGATGCTTCAGATCTCCCATAACAATCGTTAATAATATGGACTTCAAAGATTATTTTAAGAAAAATATAAAAACGATATAAAAATCCCAAAATGCTCTGATTATAATAATTTTTAAATAAGAAATGTTTAAAACTTAACTCTCTAATTTAGCGATAAAAATAAAAAAATTAATGTAATAACTCGTGATAAGTTACTTAAAAAAAAAAATTTTAATGGACGATAAGTGTCACATTCACATTACTGCATGTGTACCTGTACAATTATGAATAATTAATTTAATTTTAAATATTTTCTAATTTAAAAATTATTATAAAATTTCGACATATTAGAATTTTCATTTCAAACTGATCTCAAAAACCTATTATAATTTATAACATTGCAGATGGATTACCACAAGTCATGTAAATGACAATCAAATGACGAATCACGAATGTACCTTCTAATTAAAAAAAATGTGCTTACAGCTTGCAATTGATAAAATACGTTTTATTATTGCAATAGATACAGACACGCGCTTATTAGTTGTCTCTCGTTTCAGGCTCGTCATCGTACGCCGCCATAACTTTTTCCATAATTTCCCATAGTTTGTCCCTCGCCAAATCCTTGCAGAATACCTAATAGTAATAAATATGCGTCATTATTTGATGTAAATATAAATTAATGTTGAGACACACAGCACTTACGTTGAACCACGGCTGTTGATCACACTCGTCCATCAAAGGTACAACTACACCATAAATTTGCAGTGACAGATTGATACAAGCTATCGCTATTAAATTCGGTGGGTAGTCAAGAATGGCTGGGGAATGATGAAAATCTTGCAACAACGCCATGCTAGTTTTAGCAACCGGATACTTGGACCATTCCTCTTCACCAAACCAAGCTTGCAAGGATCGTAGATAATGAAGCATATACTACAAGATGATATATCATGTAATTTCATACATCATTGTTTGATGTATTTCATACATCATCACGTATATACATTAATATTATTTTTTATCTAAATATATATATAATGCTTTACTTTATGCGGATGCACCGGCGTGACTTGAAATTTGAGCATCCTCATAATCAAAAGTTCGGCTTGTACAATTGCATCTCTCATACTCCAATACTGATCTCCGAGATCGAGCGGCTGAGATCCCCTGTGAAGTGTATTGTAGGATACATTCATTACATCTCTTATCTTCAGCGTATCGTCCTTTACCTTGCCAGCCAAGTACAGACAAGTCGCGGCTATTAACTAAAAAAAAAAACTTATACTTATCACGATTTCAAAACAATTATTATAATCATATAACGTAAAAAGATTAACAGCTAAATACAAACAAAGACAGAAAACAATTAATGATGAAAAAATTAATTATAATATTTTAAGATAATTGTTTTGAAGATTTTAAGATGAACTTCACTTAATCCTCAACATCAATATAACAAAAAATTGATAAAAAAATCTTTAAAATATAAACAAAAAAATATAATATAATCAAAGTTCTAATATATAAATATCAGAGATAAAATCAAATAGTGAACAGATATAACAGTAACGTATAAACTGAATAAATAATATTTTTAAATAATGTTATGCAAAAGTATGTTATAACAAAAATTAAGAAATTGTATCAAAATCAAATAAATAATAACAAATAAAAGATATATATCCTTACATAATTGTCATATCCTTGTGGCGTCGCTTCTTTAATAAATCTGTGATATAATGTTGCAGCAGTGGCTATTGTCAATGGATGAGCTTCTAATTTTAAACCTATAATCCAAAAAGCTATTTGTTAACATATTGAATATCCCACAGGTTAACGATGGATATCCAATATGATATGAAAATTTATAAATAATATTTGTAACTGTATAGCTATAATTAATAACAATTTAATACACATAAGCACTAAATATTTTTGTTTCTAATTATGTAAATTTAAATAGATATATAGTGATATATGTAGAAATAGAATAGATATTATTAAATAGATATATGTAGAAACAAGCAAATTAAATCAATATATTATTCAGTATTCAAGATTTTCTTTAGACATTAAAGATTTTCTTTAAAATATGAAATAGAACATTATCACGGTCAACATACCACATTCGAAGATGAAGCGTGAAACGGTAAAACTATCGCTGGATTTCGTATAATCGATCGTGATACTTTTCTGTAATGTATTTCTCTTTTCACGCTGCATTGCGAGAACGTCAATCACATCTTTCATCTTAGAACTGAAAGGAAAAGGTTCATGTAAGCGAGATAAATTCAAAAAGAGGAAATTACTCAATATATAACAAACTCGATGTAGGAATAATAATGCATGTCGGAAAATAAATGAAAATAACTGAAAAGCTTTGATCTGTCAAGAGTAAGCTGGTATATAACCTTATCTCAGTGTCATCCAATGTGAACTCATTGTACCTGAGAGTCTCGGTGCCACTTGGCTCTGAGGGATTCATCGCGAACACACACTTTCTCCGTAGGAATGTTTCGTTTAAATATCGCTAGCGCGTAAAAATTCTATCCTCCCTCTTACGCATTCAAATACATGAAAAGCGTGTTCGGTACCAGCAAATATAAATTTGGCACAAACTCTCCCGACAGCGTCGCCTAGCCGACAATTTTCAAACTAAACGAATTCCATATGGGTCACGTGACGAGCAAGCAAGAGTTGGATGCCCTTTGATTGGTGTTTCATATACACTTGATAAATATTTATAACATATCCGAATAATAAATTATTTTATTTCAATTGTAAACTACGAAATAAAAACATTATAAATATAATTATTTTAAATTGTAAAAATGCAATATTAACGCCAGAGTTCTTCAAGAACTTGAACGTCGTCCACCATTTTCAAATTAAGTGCAATGCACTTTCGAAAATATTCAACTTTAATTTATTAATCAATTACGCATTTTATTGATAAAGAATGACTTTGATTTGAGTAGTTATATAAATATATATGGACTGTCGAATTAAATTCATTTTAACCTAAAAATAGTGTCCAAATACTCGAGATATTTTAGAAACGACTTTCAGAATTTGGACATTCAGCTCGTAGCGTAATATCAATCTTTAATTATTGATTCTCTGATCAAATCTGTCTGATAATCACGAAATTTATCCAAAATTCGCTATCTTTAGTAATAATTAATGCCGATTCCCCTCCCCCCCCCCACGTTCGTCCACCAATCATCTCGCCTCTCCGCGAGTTTACTCGCTTTGTCTTCCTACTCCTCCGGTTTATCCAAGCGAACGCTTCAACGAGAGGGTGGGGATGGCGAAGATGGAGAACGCTTATATAAGCGAACGCGAATTATCTCACACCGCGGCACATTGCGTGAGACGAGTCAACGTGTATTCTGCCGTCGCCCCGGTCTTATAGGTTATGTCGCGTCGAGTCCGCGCGACGGTATCGACGGGCAACGTTAATTGCGCGCATTAATCACGATCGCGTCCAGAGGCGACGCGTGATTCTACAGGGAGATCGAGAGGGGAGGGACGTCGTCCGCGACTTTCGTCCTCCGTCGGGGAAAGATCGGCGTGGGTTCACCCTTGAACGTTTCGCGTACTACTCGGCGAGATACCACCGTTTGTCGGTAATTAGCAGCAAGAGGCCCAGACCGAAGAGGATCATCCTCGCCCTTGGTCCGCACGGCGAGCGTGCTCGAAGGAAAGAAGAGAGGAACGGAGTGAAAACAGAGACACGAGAGAAAAGACGCAACTGCACGAGATGTCAGCGTCTCCCATCGCCAGACAGGCCACGCAGAGCCAGAGCATACCATCCAAGAGGGTCGTCATTCACGATCCCAACCAGCTACCGGCCGACTATTCGTCCACTCCCGGAGGCACGCTCTATTCCACGACGCCGGGAGGTGTGTATCTCCTTTTGCGTTCCGTCTCTCTCTCTCTCTCTCTCTTCCTCCCCATCTCGTATTGTTCTCTCTTCTACTCCGACGCTGCCGCGAGGTGGGGAGGGGGGTAATTCTACGTCGCGAGGTTGTCTCTGTTGACAGACAGATCTCCGCGATAGAGTATGTAATTGGACTTATTAGAGACGTAATACTTCAGCGATATTCACGCCGATCGATGGACGAAAAGAAATAATAATAATAATAATAAAAAAATACGTGAAACCACGAGTCGTGACACTCTCGTGCGTGCAAAAATCCGCGAGAAAGCAGAAACGTTGCGAATCCAGAGTATATCAAAATCATTTGAGACCTCGACAAACAAAATGCGCACGTGCAAGATGCAGTCAAGGTCGTTGATATTTACGCACGACGCGTTGTCGAGGCGGCGCGACATGCGATTATCTCTCTCTCGCTCGCTCTTTTTCGCACGCGCGTGCGAAACTTCACTCGATAACACGAGCGATTACGTAATTGCGCGTTTCGGCGCGAATTTGTTTGGCCGCCCGTCTGTATGGAAAATATCCGAATCTTTTTTGCGTCGCAGGCGAAGTTATGATCTCCACGTTCGGCCTGCGGTGGCCGCCCAGTTCGCGATAACGCGCGACCTTGATGTAATCCGTAACCGATATGCTGAGCCGGCATTCGACAGAGATTCCCGAGGCTTAAAAATGGCTAATAGAGCCTCTGATGTCCACTTCTGTCGACATAGATTAACTTTAATCTCGACTTGATTTACTTATTATTTTTTTTTTCTAGTTCTAAACTTGAAAAAACACAAATTTGCTCTTCGTCTTTTATCAAGTATTAGAATGAAAAAATAGAAAATAAATTTAGATTAAAATTATATTAGTAAAAATGGATTATTAATGCTCCTGCAATAAAAAACTAATTTTGCATTTTGCTTCTATTATGGAAAGATTTTTTTCTTTTTCTTTTTTTTTTTGGTGTGTATGGACAAGTTCTACACCCGATAGTGAAAAGATGCTTGTTACTTCAGGTTATTCAATACAATGGAAAAATAATGTGTTGAGTATGTAAGCACACGAAAAGTAGTATTTCTTCTTTTTCTATTGTCAAGCCGCCACATTAATCTTTTCATTATATCCACAAAAGAAAGTATAAAAGTCTTTTGTTTTTTTTCCTGCAGATATTAATAAGCAAAATTAAAAAACTACATAAAATTGAAAAGTGGAAGGTTATTCGAGTTGGAGAGCAAAAAGAATGTTAACTGGAAACAATTGTACCATAGGTCCGCATGCTATATCTAGAAGGTGAAAGGTTAAACTTATTAAGGCTGAAATTCAGATCGTCGGATCACTCGCGACATTGAACGCGAGATATGAATGCGGGCTCTTATTGCGTTTTTAGCGAACGATAAAGGATAACTTATCGTATTTGTGTTTATACTTCTTCGTATGCGCGTCATTTCGAGAGGAAGAGTGAAAGAGTCGAGAAGGCGAGTCGCGCAGATATGTTTATTACGACAAAAAAAAAAAGAAAAAAAACGGAATGAAATAGTATTGGTATCCCGTCATTTCGTTTGTCCTGCGAATTTTTCTGCCAATTTCAAAGTTCTTCAATGCTTACGATAACGTCGAGTGATAAATAACATTACTTTTAATTGTTAACAAATAATTATTGTTTACTTATTGAACGTTTTAAGTGGATTTTAATCATCGAAGCCTGATTTTTAAATTTTATCACGAGCCAATTGAAAATTAGAAAAAAATTCTACAAGAAATTGCGTTGTCATCAGGCTTTCGATATAATTAATTTGAACAATTTATCGTTTTGTTTAAAAAAGTCGTTGGAGAAGTCGAATAAGCTTCAGCAACAATGTATTGGTAGAGATGAGATAAAGTTCTGAAATGACTTATTGTTGACGGATATCTCTTTACCGATGAGTCTGACTTATTTATCTTTGTTGGTTTTAATAAGAGAACAGTTCGAGTGTCTACGATATAACAATCCCTTCTATTGTTTCTGTTAAATTAATATTGCGAAAAGTATAAAGTAATTATATATCACTATTTTATAACGATAAATCATTCTTTCCGAGATCTGCTCAATTTATCGCGTGATAAGATCAACCTGGATATAAATACTAGATAAAAAGACATTCCATAAATCATGAAAAAAAACATGAATGCGCGAGTTTCGAGCGCAGCTCCCTGTAGTCAATAGTAGAAAGCCCACGGATCGTATAGAATAGGTCGTAAAGGTAACACGAATGGAAAACCAAGCAGAGAAGAGCCCCCCCCCCCTCGACTATAAATTCACAAAAAAGCGTAATGAAAAAAATTCCGATAACCGTAGAGAGTGACGTATCATAGCGCGATATTACTAGTAAAAACATACCTGATCAGCAGCCAAAAGTAGTTAGAACCTAGTGCTAGCTCGACGAACATAACGAAACGGGCTCAAGAAGTGGAAAAAGTCGAAGAAAAAGGTGGTCATTGCTTTATGAAGTTATTGAAACAAGAGACAGATAGACTGCTGTCATTGGCCGCGTCTGCAGAGGCCGAATTAGCCGGCGGCGATATTGTTGCACTGCCAGAAGAAGCAGCGGGTAAGCTGCGATCTGCCGCAGGAAAGGCCCGATTATTAACCTCGCAGAAAATGCAGCCATTTGGAAGGATTATGTTAAAAGAATATTAATTAGATGCCGGGTGAAGAATTTCCAACGACAAACTTGGCCGGTTTTTGGGACATGGTGATGCTACTACAAGTTGTCCAAGTTCATGAACTTTTTGGTCAAATAGAAAAACTGAGGAAATCGCAATGGCAGGACAAGAAAGCCGCGTCAGAACTTTGCAAACGCCGACTCGTGCCGCGATACATTTGATTGTTGATAAACCGAACCGAAATCGCTCTTTCGAATCGCGATTCTGACAATTTATAGATTTCCCCCCCAAAAAAATAATCTCCCGGTTTGCGCAGAAAATGCTGAGACAAGTTGTACGTACGTACGAGAAAAGAATTGACCGAGACACAGATAATTTATGGGCCAATGTATATGGCTTTTCAATTCCCCCCGCTCCCCCCTCCCCCACAATCGCATTTGGCATTTATTTGAGATTAATGACGAGTGCAAGCCAGGTAAACGAGTGAATTCAGGCCGCGTGCACTGGATGTGCTTTCGTATGCGTTGCGCGGCGTTTCCTGGGGCAATCCGGTTAAACAGCCAAGGCCGAATCAATGCGTGCCGAACGTCGCCCGATGCGTAATCGGTGACGCGTAATGTTTATCGCTCGCGCCACGCCAGCACGCGGTCGGCGCGCAAAAAGTCGCGGCGATCTGAAAAACAAGGGTAACACAGCGCGAAACGGCTGGACCTTCGAGATAACTTTAGCCGAGACCGAGCACGACCGCGAGAGCGCTTCATAAATCTCGTCCAACATCTTTGATGCGTAAATGATGACGATAAACAAGCGCGGCCACTTCGCATATGAAACGTGTTTCTTGTGGAATTGCCGCCGAAACTGCGGTGAACTTCCTCTTACGATTTAGCTTGACGAATTACGAGTTTGCTGAATAGGAGAGAGAGAGAGGGAGGAGAGATGTCTCTTAATTTTAAAAAGTTTCATCCTTCATCCTCCACTCACGTGTCTTCTGATCGAATTTTACGTTACATGATGTTTTTTTTTCGCGCATTTTATATATAGCGTAGTCTGATCCATTGAATTGCAAAATAAAGAAGATGCAAAATAAATCCTAAGCTTCTTTAAGAAAACATGAATTTATTTTTATTTACTATATATTAAAAAAAATAGAATGATTACAGAATAGTAGACTCACGTTACGCTCTGCAGATTAAGGATGTATATGTCATGCGTGAAACATCGGCAAAAGCGTAAAAACTAATTTTACCATCTTTGCTGTGTAGTAAAAGTTAAACGCGAATCTTTGAACGGTTTGGAAATTGAAATTTAAATATATTCTCATAGAATAAAATCGTGTAGTGATTAATGCTAACGATTAGAATTAAATCCTAGAACTAAATGATAATAATTAGGATATGTATTTTGTTTTAAATTATTAATTTGATATACATAATTGATTTTTATATTTTATATATGTTTAAGTTATACGATATCTAATTTAAAAATTAATTTTATAAACTATTAGTTTTTTTGTTCCTTACACTGTTGATTTCGGAGGATATTCAATCAACAGTTTTGTCCAAAAAAAAATATTAGTTACAAATATTTTCTTTTATAGATGTTATTTTGTTTATGTTTTAACTTTATGATTCAAACTTATTTGAGATTCCAGATATATATATTTTTTTTTAATTTTGTGAAAACTTTGTTACTATTGCATAGCCAAAATGTTCTTAAATCGTACGTGACTTACACAAAGAAATTTTAAGATCTCTCAGTTGATTTTGTTTCGCGCGTGTCTTCATGCTTTCTGCGATTATGTTTGTTGCATCCTCGCCGACCCTTGCACTTCTTTCAAGTTGGAAGGTGTCGGTGTACAGAAATACACTTGTATAAATAGGCGGCGTGCGCCGCTTTTCATATAACTGTCGGGCCATTGTATCGTTTCTGCGTGTCATCATTATTCCATCGTTATTATAAATTTTCCTTCTTTTGCCAGTTCAGTCTTCCATATTGTCCCGATCGATCTTATTTGCATTTTTTTTTTTACATCAGGAAAAAACTTTTACGAAGCGTTAAATTCATTGAAACCGTTTCTTCCATCGAATCTTAATCGTAACACCTGCAAAACTACGGCGTGTTAAACTTGCTTGATAAAACCAGCTTATACTTTGTCCAGCGGTAATACTGTGGCCTTATCTGATAATTCTTGATTGTGAGTAGTACAGTTTCAGGTTTAACCTGCATATAAAAATACGAATTGCGTTGCAGCGAGATATCTGTAAAAATTTTTCTTGTTTTCTTTCACGCATGGCTTTAGCCGTTCTCTCAATCGAATCGGCATTCAAGAATATTTTCATACGTAATGAAAGTTTATAACACATACCTAAGAAAGGTGGAATTCACTTCATTACAATCGCAAATTCCACGAATAATTAAATCCTCGAATTCTGCGTAGGTACTCGCATCGTATACGAACGTGCGTTTCTAATGAACCTGCGGAACTCGCCGATATCGCGAACACCGCCGCGAAACACGCTGACCATACCGTCGGAATTGTTGAAGGGCAACACACCAGCCATCACCAGGGATCCCGCCAAAAATCTTAACAAAGGTCAGTTGATTTTATATTTGCAATTCGATTTTGTCCACTACTTGCTTTTTCTAATAAAATAACATAAAATGGAATAGTGCATTATTCGAAAAATAATAATAATAATATCTTTCTCATACTTGTACGACATTATAGACGCTCTGGTGATCGAGGAGTCCGCTGAGCAGTTCGAAATGGATATGTGAAGAATATTCGATCCACCATCGTTTACGCGACGATCGAAATGTGTTCGTAGCCATGTCCGAGGAAATTGTCAATCAATCAGTCCTTTGACAATTGCACATGGCTAACGCACTTCAATTCTGTGCCTTTTTACCAGTGGTCTTATTATTAAGAATTGAATATGAATCTTTAAAAGATGTTCTCTTTGGACGTGGAAGGCCATATCTTATTCATATATATTATATACAAATTCATTTAATTCTTGACGCTAGTTCTTGACCAATATAATACGTATATTTGCATATAAAGAACGGCCATGGATGTGAAGGTGCTTATGTCCATGTGGCATTGAGCATTACATGTCTTCCTTTTAAAAATGGCCAATGCGACGCTTTGTAATCTATTTCATAAGGGACTTGTGTGTATCTGTGAATAAATGATACATACGTTTTATACATACATTTTATTTTTATCTTGTACATCGTACAAAAATCACACGACCGGAGAAAAATTGTACTCGTGTATTCTTGACCAAGAACAGCCGATTAAATCACACACACATATATGTATGTATACGTATGTATATGTATACATATATATTAACAGTATATGATAAAATTTGTATATTGAAATAAAAAAATTTCGAATTTTGAAATTATAAAATTTTATGCTTATGCGTTAATATGATTTCGAATTGGCACACACCTTCATCTTTGAGAAAAATTATAAATCTAAAGAGAGTCTTGACTTTGTTTCATCATCACAACATTTCTAACTTGCTAAAATTTATAAAAGTAGGTCAAAGTATGAAAAATCAGAATAAAAAAAGAGAGAAAGCTCTGTATGAATAAAATGATAGAACGGTATAAATTACATCGAATGTCATTTATAAATTGCGCAATATTGTACGTCATGTATGCTCTTGCAAATTGAAATCATAAATTGAATCATTGCGCTCTAAAAACTTATATATAAAATCAGTTTTGTTAATATTATAATTCTTTGAAAAGAAATTTTTTGGGCATTAAACATTTCGTCAAACTTATATCCTGTTTTTAATAAATTCTTCTGCAACGCAGGTCTTTAGAGCGCAAAATGTACCAATGCAGAATAATATAATCACATTCGACCATATTAGAAATACATCATTAAACACATACATTTAAAAAAATTTATCACAAAAGAACGTTTGCATACGTATATGGGTTTTACCACTCATGCGGACTTTTTCATTTTGGCTATTCTTTTCAGTATTATTTCGGCGACATTGACCTTGGTTCCTTGCGAATCATAATCGTCATAATAAATTAATTCACACAAATCTCTCGTATCTGGTTCGCTCTGTAAGATCTCATATAGTTTTTTATGGAAGATTTGTATGATTTCCTTTTTATAACGTTTGTACACGACCGATTCAGGATGATTGTGTTTCTGTACCTCGTGATACGTTAACAGAGCCGACGCGCCTTCTACCACCGCGTATACCGGCTCGGCACCCGACATTCTTCCACCGGGATATATCTTGTAGGCGTTGTTGCGGTATACTCTGCCGATGTTACCGGCTCGGCTGCGTTTCTCCTCCTCCAGCTCCCGCGCGCTCTCCATCCACTGATAGGACGCGTCCTTGAGATCCGGTGGAATGTATCCGGACGACGGTATCAGAATGAACAGCCTGTGTATCGGGAAAGTGACATTATGATTGTCCTCAAAGTTTTCAATCTTCTCGATTATGCTCTTGCTGGCGGTGCCGGTGGACGGTAGGATTAGTCGCAGGTAACCGTAGTAAAAGCTATACGCCATACCGGTGCCGTAATCCAGTCCCTTCATGAAACTGAGATCGAACTGAAGTCTCGACTCCCACTCGTCCAGATCGATCATCCTCGCCAGGCAATAGACGAATATTATCAGCGGGCAGCATACGTACGGACCAAAATCCCACGCGTAGCTCAGCGGACATCTCCGTATGGTGATGGTCAAGCCGAGGAAGAGCAGCGCGCCGAAGACGACGGTCGTCGCCGACGCGGTATTCAGGGAGAAGTTATAGCTCACGATCGACCAGACACTCTCGTCCGAGTGCTGGCTCACGTGCGTGACGATCGAGAACAACGTCTGGCACAGCCGCAGCGTCACGTTGCCGATGAGGAGGAGCACGAGGAACACGGACGTGACGAGAACGGTCGCGATCAACGACGTCACCACCGCTCCGTTCTTCGTCACGTTGTACGCGGCGAAGGCGAAGAGGACGAAGAGAACGGGACCGTAAGCCTTCACCCTGCGATCGACCGACGAATCTCTGTCGCCTTCCATCCTCGCCGGGACGCCGTCGTCGACTCGTTCCGACTCGTGCTCACGTCAGTCCGCTGATAAAGGCGGAAAAAGAAAGGAACTTTTCAAGCGTGATAAACTTCGAAGAAATCCACAGGATAATCGCGGCCACCTGGAATGGCGTGCGACGACACGCCCGTCTCTCTTCCGCGTATTCTGTATCAAAATATAGCAGGAAACGACGTTTAAAGGCTTATCCAAACGGACTCTCATGATCGCGTGATATATGCGCGCGGAGAACCTATTAGCGTTGCCGACGTCGCTAAACGTCACGCGTTATTGTCATGCATCACGCGCTGTATGCAATTGGTCAACTTTTTTCTTATACGTATATATATATATATACGATATTCATATTCATCATGCCGCTCGATCATCCAGCCAATCAAGTAAAGTCCTCTATCTTATAATTAATGAACGCTTTTACGGAAGGAATAATCAGCATCATACTACAAGTATCGTTTCCGACAGGTTTATAGTTGCGTAAGCAGTACATATTTTTTTATTCTAACTGGAAAAATATTCATAAATATGTATGTAACGTAGAGCCTCAGAATGTCCCATCCGGGAGATATCCTATGAAAATTAAATTAATTAATTAAATTAATTTTGTATATTTTAGAGATGTCGATAACTATCCCATATCCGGCCAATTCAATTATTTACTATTTATTCATAATCCGATTAGATAATTCGGAGAATAATTAACTATCCGAATTAGCTAATTTTTTTCGAAGATTCGACCGAATCAGCAATTTTCCATTGGTTATAATTATATTTAAAAATTGTATTTCAAATATAATCTATTTCCGTGAATATTCTAAGTCTGTATGCGTAAGGATTTATAGATTATAACGACCTTTGATATCATTTCTTGATATAGCTTCATGATAAAAGTTGCATGTATCATATCGTTGAAAAACATACAAATTTCCTAGTATTCTACTATTTCTTTCAAGTATCTGCGAAAAACATTAAAAACCATTCGTTTACACTTTAACCTCTTTACAAATTTATTCGATATTCTTTTCTCTTCAAATAACATTAGAATACATTCTTACAAAGATTAATTTGATGTATTTTTGAATATCGATTTAAAAAGGGGATTTCATCTGTTTTCACTTATTAAAGTCAAAGTCATGTTTTTTTTCAAGACAATTTTACTATTGTGGCTTTTTACGCTTGTTAGGTTAATCGTGTCTTTGCGTCACATCTAAGGAATAAATTATCGCGAATATATTTATATCAAGTATACCGAACGATATTTGTTAATTCCTTTACATTACTCTCTTAATCTAAAGGGATATAATTATACGCACAATTTCTTCGGTTCTCGATATCCAACATATCTCTCAAGTGAATACAGTAACTGATACAGTTAACCTCGCGCACCTCCTCTGCGAGAATTGACAGGCGCGTTCGACGAGTTTTTGGCGGGAAGACATTTGTTCGACTTTCCAACGCACTGAGCTGAGATGAGCTCCCTGTTTTTCTTTCTATCTACCCTGTCAACTCGAGGTCGCGACTTCAATCACGGGATGGGGATTCGCGACTTTTCGTAATCGCGAGATCGAGCCGCGATTACTCCGTAACGGTTCTCGAATGCAGCTGCGCCAAAAGTCACCGGGAAGGAAAGGGAAGGAAGTCTCCCCGCTTGGTAACGCGCGCCAGGGATAAAGAATGAGAGAGACGGAGAGCGCGCGCCGGGATAGGGGGTAAGAGGAGATCGCGACAGGGGACAGGGAGGAGGAGGAGAAGGAGGA